ATTTTTGTCTGTGTCCGTTGAAAACACCACTTGGAAATCAAAAATGAACTGAGAGATTCCAGGCTAATTCGCATTTGTGAATTGGTTTGGCCTTGTCGGTCTATTGCCTCACGTGATGCAATATAAAACTTCCTCAAAATCTCTCAACTCACAAATTCCTTTATACTGAAAAATTCACCTCCACCCCTTTCTCAAACCACAGAGGACAGGAAACAAGGTGTAACTTCATTTGGCAACCTGTCAATTAAACTTAAGAATTTTAATTGGATTGCATGCTCTGGCTTCTCTCCCAAACCTTATTAGTTCTGCTTATCATGAGTCTTTGGCTGTAGACAACAGTTCACAGCAGCATGGTTGAATATTCTTGTTCAGTTTCTGTTGTTCAGCAAAAAGTTTTGCTTGTCTTCTGGTATCCTGTACTCAGATAATAATGAGCTGAGGTAGATTGCCACAAAGGATTTTTTAGGTTCAGTGCTAAAAATAATTAGTTATTAGTTGAATGAAAAGAGCAGTGGCAGTGAAAGAGCATTTCATTACATGCACAGGAAGATAATGCGTAGGCCTGCAACATGTTCTTCGCATGGTAGAGTTTCATCTTGCACTTGTTGATGTAGCGACTAACTGTGTTAACTGACAATGGTTTCCTGAAGTGTTCCTGAGCCCATGTGGTAATATCCTTAAACACATTGATGTCAGTTTTTAATGCAGTGATTCAGGGATCGAAGGTCACGGGCATTCAATGTTGGTTTTCGGCCTTGCCGTTTACGTGAAGAGATTTCTCCAGATTCTCTGAATCTTCTGATGATATTATGGACCGTACATGATGAAACCCTAAATTCTTTGCAATTGTATGTTGAGAAACGTTGTTCTTAAACTGTTGGGCTATTTGCCACGCAGCTGTTCACAAAGTGGTGAATCTCGCACCCATCCTTGCTTGTGAATGACTGAGCCTTTCGGGGATGCTCCTTTTATTTATTTTCCAGTTAACCTTTTATTTTCATTAAATATCTTTGTGGTGTATTCAATTGAACATAGGTTGAAAAGGATTTGCATATCATTGTATTCCGTTTGTATTTACGTTTTACACAATGTCCCAACTTCATTGGAATTGGGGTTGTAATAAATCTAGGAGACCATAGGAGGTATAGAAGGTTAAAGCTGGCAAGCAGTATATTAGTATGTTCAGTGTTGTTTTATAAAGTCTATGGTTCAGTGTCAAGGAACAGTAAAGCTCAACACTCAACACAAAAATTTATTGTGGAGCTAATTAGCAGAGTTTTAGGAGCGGGACCACACATCAATCACATCATTGCCAGCATTTCCATCTCCTTTTCTTCACTCTGGCATTCTGCACCTGTGTTACGACGGATTTCCCTATAGCAGCTTCCCCACAACGCTTTCGAATGTCTATTCAGCAACTGCAAGCCTTGCACATCTTTGCAAATCTGTAATTTCTGTTTCAATCATTGCTTTTCCAGTCCTATATTGTAGTTCTGTGACTGCTTTATGGCAGCTTTGCATGATTCAAAGTAAAAAAAAATCTGGCTCTTCATGTAGGCCTTCATTTCAGCCTCTGTCTGAAACAAGCTGTAGATGCTCCTGTCTCTTTAAGGCCCCCCCTCTCAAAGCCCACTGTATTGTGATTGGCCAAGACCTGAAGCATGTTACCTGGCTGTTGTTGTCGCTGAGCGGTACAGACAGTGAGTGTTGCTGTGACCGTATGTGGAATACCGGCTCTGTGTGTCAACAAACGGAGCCATTGGTAGAAAAAGTTGTTCAAAACAGAGCGTTCAGAACAGGAGGAAATCTGAGATTTTTGCTCACAGGGATTTCTTTTAAATACTTTCACCTTATTATTTGAAACTTTGGCCATGTTTAACATGAACATCCAACATTGTAACATTGTCAATAAGTCATAAAATGCGGATAATAGGTCTCCTTTAATACATCATTTAATCATTTCTGTTTAGTCCTTGCTAGTGAAATTTTGTTCATGAAATCACCTGTCTGTCATTAGAGAATAACAGAACAACTGTGGGAATGTAACAGTGGGTAAATCATGATGATATGATATACAATTTATTTTATTTTATTCAAATAAAATCCAAATTTTATCAAAGCGGTCCCTGTCATATCAGTCTGTGCAACGCACATGTCAGATCTCGCCCTCAAGGCTGCCTGTACACTCTCCCTGTCCTCGCGTCTGTAACTTCCACTATCTTCATCTACACTAGAAAACAAAAATGGAAAAAGAGCATGTGTTACTTTGTGGCTATAACAACGCTGTTGCCACAATGTCCACCATACCCTGTAGGCCCTGCTGTAGCCTGAACACCACATGATAATCAGTATTTAATGTTTTTATTAGGCTATAATCAAAACTCATATTTTGTCTAATTTTTGGGACAAACAGGATGGACAAACATAGTCGGGACAGCTGCTCGTAATTCGGGACTGACCCTATTCATGACTAATATCTTCGCAAACATTTAGATACATTTAGTTACATCCAGCAGACAGACATCAGCATTGATTACTTTGCATTCAGAGTCAACCATCACCATCTTACAAATCGATTTGATCTCCACCAACTCAAGACAAATATGTCTTTAGCTTGCTACATTTTCAACCAGCTATGCAAGCTTCTGACTTGCTAATTGCTATATGATTTTCTCACTAGTAGATTAGAGTAGAGTAGATTGATCAGAGCTATTTTTCTAGGAAATAGCAGCCTATGGGGGCTCATACTCAACCGTCAATTCCATTGACTGGTCCTCACCATGTTAGCTTGGCACAGGGGAGGGGAGGAAATAAGCCCCAACTAAAAGAGGAGAAATGCACCTCCAGGTAACTCCGAAGTTGTCTTATTGTGTTTTTAGTTGGCTTGCTAGCCGCTGGTTAGCTATATGTTACATTTAAGGAGTCATGTAGGTTTTGTTCAGAGTTGGAGTGTGTGAATCCTGTGGCTTTACTGTGAAGATGGGACATCCAGTATGTCCTGACATCCAGATGGTCAGGACATACCTCCAAACCAAAGACTTACTGTTCATTAAAGCCCCCCTCCAGCCAGTTTTAACTGCCGTTTTGGTTAACGTTCTTTCTCAAACAGAGATTTCATTTCATTTCCGCCTAGACTTTTTCTTGGCTACATCGCGAAAACTGAAAAACCTACGCCTCCGAAACTTGGCATGGATAATCTCTGGACCAAGCTGATGAAAGTCTGTATAGCAAATTTTGATCCGACAAAAAATGTTTATTATAAGCTAACAAATGTTTGCGAAAAATGCTAAAAACAGGAAGTGATGTCATATCTAGGTTTGGAATTGCCGATCGACAGCAAATTTGGAGCAACAATGTGAGACGCCCACCTGAGGGCATGGACATACATTCATTCAAGTCTCTTTAATTTCAAACTCTGGTCATGTATTCGCCACGGGCCCCCAAAACCACGGCAGGGCACCCGGGTCGACTTGCGTGCCCAAGCGCCAGCTGCGCGGGGGGCTTGGACCCCGCTTACAACTGCTTGCAGTTCTAGTTACTTTTGTTCTTGCTTTCTAGTTACTTTTGTTCTTGCTTGCCTGACATCATCAGTGGTAAATTTTGAAGTTAGGAATTTCCCTAAAGCTAGACAGTTAAGTGACATTATCCTACACAATGACCCCATTTGAAATAATGTTAAAATCAAAAGGCTAATTAATGCAGGTGTACAACTACATTGATAAACCAACTTGCTTTTGAACTTCATTGTGTGTGTATGTGATCAAACAATATAGTTTCACTCCAGTGGGAGGCAGCAAAGCACCATTGCAGTATCAGTTACTGCTCTAGGTGGATTATGTGGACTGGGAGCACTCCCCTCCCTTCAGCCTGCAGGGACACATGGGGGCGTGTGAGTGTGCTGATGTGCTGCCTCAGCGCTGGGATATAAGAGGCTTTGAGAGACGGGCTTATGATCCAGCATTTATACCTCTCTCTGACTCTCCATCTTTACGGTATTCTGTATCTCCAAGTCTGTCTTGAATGTCACCCGACCTGTTGATTATCCTAAATGGGAATGGAGGTAGGAGGCTAAATAGATTATATTTATAACTTTATTTTATTTTTGTATATTTAGAGTTTTGTGTTTGTGATGAAGTTATACAAATATTTATAGCCAATTATCATCTATTAATAGTTGTTGCCATTTATTATTATTTAATAATTTTAACTTTTCCAGACGTGTCATTCAGTTCAAATCTTGTATTCGGTTTGTAATGTCATGTACATTACAGTGTTGCTATGAGCCATAGCAGCAAAAAAGCAAGGAGGTTTCTTTGTCTGTTTTAAGAGTTTTCAGAAGTTGTCATGGAGTTTAAATAATTCCTCTTCATTCTGTTTGAAAATGAAATATTTATGTACAGCAGTAGGTAACCAGTTACATCAAGTGTTGAGTTTCTGTGCTTTAGCTCAGCATGTGTTTATCAGATGACATGTTTACTTGTAATTCATTTTATGAGGAAATGAGTTAGTGATGGAAGTACTCTTCTTCCCTTTTCTACTTTTTTTAAGTTATTGACATTGTTACAGCTCATTATGCACAGTCCTTTACTTAGATAGATTGTTAAGGTCAGGTTATGTGAGGCAAACATTTGCACAGGTCAGCAGTATTGTAGTTAAAATATAACAGAGTACTTCACACGTAACATCCACTGACTGTTTCCAAGAAATTTAGCTGACATCATCAATAGTAAATTTTGAAGTTAGGGATTTCCCTAAAGCTAGATAGTCAAGTGACATTATCCTACACAATGACTCATTTGAAATAATGTTAAAATCAAAAGGCTAATTAATGCAGGTGTACAACTACATTGATAAACCAACTTGCTTTTGAACTTCATTGTGTGTGTATGTGATCAAACAATATAGTTTCACTCCAGTGGGAGGCAGCAAAGCACCATTGCAGTATCAGTTACTGCTCTAGGTGGATTATGTGGACTGGGAGCACTCCCCTCCCTTCAGCCTGTGTGCAGGGACACATTGGTGGCGTGTGACTGTGCTGATCTTCTGCCTCAGTGCTGGGATATAAGAGGCTTTGAGAGACGGTCTTATGAACTAGCATTTATATTTCTCTCTGACTCTCCATCCTTACGGCATTCTGTATCTCCAAGTCTGTCTTTTTTTTTAATCAACACTCTTGGATGTCACCAGACCTGTTGATTATCCTAAGTGGGAATGGAGGTAGGAGGCTAAATAGATTATACTTACAATTTGATTTATTTTTGTATATTTAGAGTTTTGTGTTTGTGATGAATATTTACTGCCAATTATCATCTATTAACAGGTGTTGCCAGTTAATAATATTTAATTTTATTAACTTTTCCAGAGGTGTTATTCAGTTAAAATCTTCATGTACATTACAGTGTTGCTATGAGCCATATAGCAGCAAAAAAGCAATGAAGTTTTAAGAGTTTTCAGAAGTTGTCATGGAGTTTAAATAATTCCTCTTCATTCTTTTTGAAAATGAAATACTTATGTACAGTAGGGAGACATCAACTGTTGAGCTGCTGTGCTTTTGCTCGGGATGTGTTTATCAGCTAACATGTTTACTTGTAATACATTTAATGAGGACATGAGTCAGTGATGGAACTACTCTTCATCCCTTTTCTACTTCTTTTGTTAGTGACATTGTTACAGCTCATTATGCACAGTCCTTCTCTTACATTACATTTACATTTACTCATTTGGCACACGATTTTATCCAGACTTACATTTTAGGAACAACATACAAGCATCAACAGAGCATCAAATACAGCATGAGATCTACAACTGACAATACAACAATACTACAATAAGAATACTACTACAATACTAGTAAGAGCAGCAATAAATACTAGTAAAAGATAATAGCACATATCACATCAATGTGCTAAATACCTAGGGAAAGAAGTAAGAATTAACAAAAAGTGCAATCAATACAAGATAATTGTAAGGGGATGGAAGAAGCAGAGCACAGGAAGTGCATGTTAGAGGTGTTGTAAGAGAAAGTGTTACTTAGGTCAGGTTATGTGAGGCAAGCATTTGCACAGCCAGCCAGCAGTAGTGTAGTTAAAATATAACAGAGTACTTCACACTCATTCTTTCTCACATACACACACTTGTGTATGAGCAACACATTGTCTCATCCTTAGGTAAGGATTTTCTGTTGTGCTGTTGAGGAGAGGTTACTGTAGGTAAATGATCCAGCGTCTGCATCAGCATCTCCATACTGTAAGCAGATGTCAGCAGAATAATGAACTGTTTTAAATTTTAAGTAGACAAATTGTAAATGACTCTCAAGCTATATCAATTTTACATCACGCTTTATTCTGCAATGATGAGTCAATATGCATTTATAAAGTGGTCTTCAGTTATTATTGTATGTGTTTTCAAGTGGGTATGTGGATGTTATGTCTCAAATTGTGCTATTTAGTCAAAATATTTTGCTAGATCTGCGCAGTTTGTGTTAATGAAAGCTGTGATCTGTATTTCTGCTTACTGGAGCAGAGAGTGCTTCTAATGGTTCATTACCTCTGTGTGTTATTTGAGGTTGTGTGCAACTACTGATAATAATTTCCTTGTAGATTGATATCACAGGATGCCTCAGCTCCTCTGTTGTGGAACGCACAGGATTTAATAACCGTGTCCCTGACATCCACATGGGGCCCAAAAGTCATCCATTCAGATTTATGTGTCATTCATTCATGCAACTATTAAATTAATTATTAATACAGACTGGTTCATATTCACTTTCTCTTTGCTTTCTGTAGGACATGAAGGAGACAACCATGTGCGAATAAGCAAAGAAGAGCACCTGAAGAGCCTTAACAAATATTCATCACTGTGGATACATGGAGTATGCAATACAAGCCAAGAATAGATAACTTCAGACACAAGCCTGACAGAGCCTTGACCACAACAAATAAATTTTGATCTTTAGCTGATTCACATTTCCTTTTTCTACGCTGTGGTTGTGAACCTATAACTCTATCCCCAGATCAAAGACCTCCCACATCGACCCTCCTTCACAGTGCCCCTCAGAGGGGAGATGCCAGTCTTGCTTAATGCTGACGCCTCCTTTAGCTCCAAGCAGGAGCTCCTGGACTTGCAGGATTGCCCTCTTGGTGGAGGTCCCTCTCTGGACACCCCCAGCCCCGTGGACTCCCAGACAGGCAGCCCAATAGGCTCAGGCCCAGGAAGTCCTGGGAGCCCTGGCGCTGATGGCCCTATTCTGTCCCACATTTTCACTGGGGCTTCCACACTACCAGGGCAGCTATGTGGGGTGGAAACCAGACCACATGCAGAGACTCCCATGAAGTTAAAACTGATTTCCGCCGACTCGGGTCAGTTATGTGGCTGGGGGGCTCTGACCCCCAAAGCTATCCAAGTTTTCAACACCCCTCGTTGGGTCCTGTTCTTCCTTTGCGTGGCCTCTTTCCTCCAGGGGATGATAATCAACGGCTTCATTAACACAGTGGTCACCTCCATTGAGAGGCGTTTCGACCTGCGCAGCTACCAGGCTGGCCTTATCGCCAGCTCCTACGACATCGCTGCCTGCGTCTGCCTGGCTTTTGTCAGCTACTTCGGCGGGACAGGACACAAGCCTCGCTGGCTGGGATGGGGGGTGCTGATCATGGCCCTTGGTTCTCTGGTGTTTGCCATGCCTCACTTTACCACACCCCCCTACCAGGTCAGTCTGCCTGAGCGAACAGGAATGTGCTCTGCCAACCGTACCAGCCCGTGCCAGGACAAGGAGGGTGGAGGATTGTCCAGCTATCGTTTTGTGTTCATGCTGGGCCAGTTTCTACATGGTGTGGGTGCTACGCCTCTCTACACATTAGGAGTCACATACCTCGATGAGAACGTCAAATCCAACTATGCCCCAGTTTATATTGGTGAGTCATATCAGTAATTAATTTAGTGCAACATGTTTTAGGGATTTTTCTTTTGTTTATTTTGAAGTCAAACAGTCACATTACCTCACTTCTTACCATTATTAGCACACTGCTGAGACACTAAAAATGGTTTAGGTCATGAAGTAAAAAGGCTAAAGGCCAGAGTTGTGTGGACATAAAGAGGAGAGCAAGTATCTGTTCCATCTCAACTCATATTAGCAGCAGGGCTAGACGTGGAAGCACAGATTTTTCTGTCTCTTAATGTTAATTACTTTGATTGTGCTTTGATTGCATAGAATAAGCTACCCACTTAGACTTGACCCATAAGTATAAATCACACTTAATGACAATACATGTGTAAATATCAGGCCTTGGAAAATTTCCCATCTGCATCTTTTTGCTGTAATTGCATTTTTTTTTGCAGATACAGACTTAAATATGTCGGCTGTTTGCATGAATGTGAACGTAGATTTTTGTCTGAACATCAGCATACAAATGCCCACACCTCTGTCATGTCTGTAAGTTGACACATTGAATGCAATCTAACTGTTAACAATACTGGTTGTCTTACCAGCTGTCTCCAATTTGCATGACACTATTTCCCTCTTCCCTCATATTTTAATTGTTTCTTTATATGTTGTGAATTAGTTGAATGTGTGCAACTGCTGTAATTCTTTCTCTCTAGCATCAAAATAGTCCTCCTAATGACACTCTGTAAAAACTTCAGTTAGCAGCGAACATCAAGGAGAAATCACAGAATTGTTGTTGCCTCTATCACTGGGAATGAAAGAGCTAATTGAGTGGAAATAACCAAATGTGCCTTGCACTCACTCACACATACACAGGCGTACAGTCGGCGAAGCTGTTATTCTGACCATCTCAGACTCCTTTCCCCACCTATTATTCATTCATACATATTCATTCAGTATTCACTCCTGACATCTATAGTACCCTAAATTGGGTCTTGTCCCCATTGCCCATTTCAAATAACAGCAGAGCACAGCATAACCTGCTTAAAGGAATGCTCTCATCAAAACACACAAACTTCAAGCTCCATTTTTCTTATGAAACATTAACTTTGTGGACACAGACCACAGTAAAGAACAATGGGGCCTTTTTAACGTGTAGGACAGGAAGCGGTAAGTAGGAAACAGGAAGTTGACAATCACTGTACTGACACACCCATGGCCTGGCTCAGTGTCTGTGGTCTCTCTCTCCCCAGGGATCTTCTACACAGCGGCCATTGTGGGTCCTGCAGCAGGCTACCTGCTGGGAGGATACTTCCTCAAGATTTACACCGAGATCCACCTGACGTGAGTCTGCTTTGGATGTCAGAATAGACTAGAGTATAATAGAGTACAACAGACTAGAAATTTCACACCACAGTGTTGGGGTTTTCAACATATGGTCAGGTTTGGTTATTAGCTGAATATCAAATATATTCTAGAAATGTTAATAGTATGTATTAATATTCAAAATTATTAATTATAATGAATAAATATGGGACACCATCCTGGAATCAGGGATCAATTACCAAATATGAGCCAAATATCAAAAGAGGGTTTGTCCACCTATAGATGGCAAACAGAGAAGGGTGAGTACGTACACTGGCCATGGTAACCAACTCTTACTGCAACATTATAATCACAGGCAACGACTTCTTAAAATTTTAGGATTTATTCAACTCAATCATAGATCAATGATCAACAACTATTCTAAGCAAAATTAAATAAAGCCAATAAAACAAATCATACAAAAATGTACAACAAACTAGCAAGCGTGTGTGAGTGAGAGACAAAGGCGGGGGAGAGACTAAGACAGGGATGTATACATATACATATGTGGTGTATGTGTATACAATATACCACAACCTATCCTACAGCCACCAGCAGTGAACGTTCATTCAGCAGCGTTTGCTGGTTTTAGATTAGATAGAATGTGCAATTGTATCTGTTTTCAGACAACAGAAGCCAACACCAAAAATCCTAATTACTTTTGCAAACACTCAGCTACAACTTTATCAATGAGAGGTCGGCTACGTGTATGATAAAATTTCAGTGGGCAAGTGCGTGCGTGTGATTGGATGAGGTAGTACCCATAGAGTCCAGTAGAGGGCGGAGCCTGTGTGAACTTGCATTCAGCAACCATGTTTGCAACCATGGCTTGATAAAAATACTGATATGTTTTCACACAGTAATTAGGAACAAAGCAGTTGCGGCCCAGCGGTGGTACCGGACACAAACAATGTGCATAGCAATAAAACAAGACACGGCGGTCTTTAAAAATCCCTTGGAGTTTCTTAACAGAAATTCACCACATGAAGCTTGTATCAGTAAATTACAATAACAAACTTATAGAACTATCTGCTGCCCAGACATACTAAAGCCTCTTTTGGTAGCTAGTAGATGCGTCCTTTTCCAGAGAAGTTCTCTCTGCTCGGTTCTGCCGGTAGTTTCAACGGCACAGCTGATTCTTCGGCAGCAGCAACAGGAATCAGTGAAGTCGACGTAAGTTGAGAAGGTAGAACACGGAGGTGATCTTCTCAGTTAAGCACGGAGTTTATCCGTCTATTTCTGCAGGCATGAAATGTTATCTTGTGTATAACGTTTTCCTTAGGGATCCAAAATTGTGCTGGTAACACAAAGAAAAATAATAGAGGTAAAAAAAGAAGAAAACAGAGTAGCTCGTCCAGCGAGTAAAGTCTGTATTCAGGAACAAAGATAGTTCAGCGCTGAGAAAGTTGTGTCTCCTATCACAGCTTGCACAGTTGTGGAAAAGACAAGGCTGTGCTCAGGTCTACTTAGACCAAGGCGACCTGCAAGATTACAAGCGCAGCCAATAGTGGCTTTGCTTTTAGGTCTGACTCACTATTTTCGTACTAATTTACAGGGCTTTGTTTGAAATAACTCCAATTCAGGCTTTTGGGAATTCAACAGGCTGGGGTCAGGCTTGTTGGATGTCACAAGGCCCATTCTTCATTCTTCTACCAGACTGTGAGGCCGCACAACAGGATGTAGTGGGCCATCATTTAAAGGTCACAACCAGTAAATTTCAAGTCACTTATACGATGTGTGTTTGTGTGTGTTGTCACAGCACAGAGTTGACTCCAGAGAACCCTCTGTGGGTCGGGGCTTGGTGGATCGGCTTCCTGGCAGGAGGAGCAGCAGCTCTACTAATAGCATTCCCCATCCTGGGCTACCCACGACAGCTCCCGGGTACCGCTCCTGTCCACTGTTCACATACACACAGTCTCTCTCTTGCATGAAGTAAAGAAGCTAAAGATCACATTTTAATTTTAAATAGAGGTAGAAATTGGAATGAGAATGGAACTCACAGTCTCACTTAACTCCTCCTCTACCTTCTTTCCTGCAGGCTCTCAGGAGTATGTGGCCATGCGGGTGTCTGAGGCCCACCAGCTTAAGGACGGAAGCCATAACACAGCCTCAGACCCTCAGTTTGGCAAATCGGTCAAAGACATGCCAAGGTAATGAACTGAATAAGTGCATGATTGGATATCAGCATCTAGTGATCTGGTCAGAGACCTGGATTCTTCCTGGATAGTTTTAACAGAAACTTGTGTGTGTGTCACCTGTTTTAAGGTAAAAAGCTTATCTTAGTTTATGGCCGTTTAATGAATATTGCAAACATTTCTCAGGTTCTATGATCAACACGTTGGTGATCCATTTGATGTGTGCTTAGAGCTTCAGTTTTTGACTTGGTGATAGCTGATAGAGGTGCAGACTGATTACTTAGGAAAGAAAATGCATCAAGTTGTTATGCTTGTAATAAGAAAAAAGAGTGCAGAGTCCTTTTTTATGATCCTCTGTAGCGGATGAGTATCTACTAATTGACATAGTTTCATATGAGTGAAGCCTTGCCTGTATACACTGCAGTTTTTTAGTAATATAAGACACCTGACAGCGTCTGGTATATTATGACAATAACAGCAGGAAGTTCTCAAACACAGTTACAGTTAATTTCTCCAACTTTGTGTAGTACACGTTAGCATTGTCACTGCTAGTAGCTACCATTTGTCACTGGAATTCCCTGTTATTATGCCAGAGCCAACAGATGCCTATCAATATGAGACGTGCAGCAAAGAAGGAAATGCGAGGATGAGTGCCTAATACAAATGTTCCTTTTAAAAAGTAACAGCTGGTGAGTAACCCCTTAGTAGTAAATGGGTTCCAGCAAGTTGCTCCATTTCTAAATACTAAAAATGTCGATAGATAAACTTGCTTGACATTGTGGCGATGTGTTTTATGTCTCCTTGCTCGACTGTTTGTAAACTGGAAACCTGTCTATTATGAATGAATTAAGTATGCAGACAGGCAACAATTGCTCTTTTCTGAAAACTTACTAAAGCATTCCTTCCATCAACAGATGCAAATATGATGGAAATAAATTCCCAGACAAGCTCTGTTTGGGCAGGCATGTTCTGACTGCAGGGCTTTACAGATAAGAAGCAGCCCTGGGTCCTTTCAGTCCACAGCTTTGTTTACTTTGACCTCAGCAACCAGTGTGATGTCATCTCTGTAGCACTGGGGATTACAGCGACAGAGTAAGGTGGTAATCATGGCATATGATGTAACATGACAGAATATCTTTGGGTCTCATACAGCATTTATCTGTATTAGGAATGTCTCCAGACTGTCGAGATTAGAGCGGGCTGGTTTAATTAAAAAGGAAGCTAAAGTTTATTCAGTTAGTTGCACACACTGTCACCCCTTAATTAATTTTTTTCTCTCTCCAGGTCTGTGCTGCTCCTCTTAAAGAATCCCACCTTCCTGTTCCTGTGCTTGGCTGGGGCAACTGAGGCCACCCTCATCGCCGGCATGTCCACGTTTGGTCCAAAGTTCTTGGAGTCTCAGTTCAGTCTCAGTGCATCAGAGGCTGCCACATGGTTTGGTGAGTGACTAATAAAACCCAAATGGTTGATAAAATATATATCCTGTATAGCCCTTTATTTCTCATCCTTGGTTTTAACTGTAAACTGCCATGACATATCTCAGCTATTCTGAACTGTTCCTTCTATACATCTATCCAACACCTTATTTCCATTGACCTTGTACTTATTCCAGCAACAAAGAAGCCCTTCTTTGTGAAAGGTTATCATTTAACTCCACTAGTAGTAGGAATATGTTGGGGAGTATGGGTTGATATCTTTATTCCCAGAATGCTTTTCAGCAATTTCTGGCAAATAAACAGTTGTTGTATTCAGCTGTGTGTTTTTGGTCAAATAAAAACTAGTGATAGCGGGATCAAAATAGCCACTTGTGTCTTATGCAGTCAATTATGTGTAGATTCACTGAATTTACTGAATGTCATTCTAAATGGCAGCATCTAACAAAATATACATTTTTAATAATTCTGAGAGATGAACATTTAATTAGACTTACAGACATGTTTTGCAAGTAAACAATTAATTTGTCACTCACTGGATAACCTTGGCAATGTTTCATGAGAGACAGTATCTTATGTGCAATGTGGAGATTTTGCCACCGGGTGCGGAGCTGCAGGAAAGCTAATGAAGTGTCCAGAATGAAAAGAGGTCATTAAATTTATTATAAATGAACCTTAGATTGCAAGTGGAGATTTTGACCTGATGTTGGTGCTTGAAGAAAGGTCAGGGTTTACAAAAGACATAAGGTCATAAATATTCACAGCAAATTCCATTAAAATCTGGCCACTTCAAGACTTCCTATCTCTATTTGTTTTAACGTGCAATTTTCTTTTAGGGCTTTAAAATGGAACTGCAGCAGAACTGCACAAATATTCGTCTCTCCCTTTGCAGGGTACATGGTGGTACCAGCAGGAGGTGGTGGCACCTTCCTGGGCGGCTACATCGTGAAGAGACTGAACCTGCGCTGTCGAGGTATCATCCGTTTCTGCATGATGTGTGCGATGGTCAGTCTGCTCGCCATCTTCATCTTTCTCATTCACTGCCCCAACGTGCCCATGGCTGGTGTCACAGCACCATACCAGTCTGGTCTGATGGAGAAACAGCAAATGGACCAGTACAAACACCTGTATAACAAGCCCAGCAAGCTGCGCCTTAGAAACAGGTGAGCAGTCTTTATTTTAGCACCTGATTTGGCTTTAGTCTTTTGACAAAATGTGTATTAGTTTTAGTCACGTGTTGTTAATTTAACTGTTGTTGGTTTTAGCTTTAGTCTCATTTTCCCTATGAATACTGTTCATTGTCAGGGTTTAGCTTGAGACGAGCAGAAAATATGCAATAATATTATTTTATCTAATTGCTGGGGGAAGATTTAAGTATTTGACCACCAACATTTTCAGCAGCATATAAAGACAAAAGAAATCTAACTGAAGCTTTAATGTAACCCACAGCTTTATAAGAGCTTTATAATGTTATATTAGTTTTAGCATCAACATTAGCTTACCCTTTTACTAATGTCAGTGTGCAGGCCTGCATGTTTTAGCAGTTTGTCACAGCTGTTTTGTTACCACTTCTTGTCTAATTTTCACTGGGATTGTAGATAATTTAGTCCATTTTAGGCAGTTTGTGCAGCGTAATCATACAGACTTAGGAAAACATTTATTATGTATGAGAAATCACGAGCAAGCAAATTCATGCCGACTAATAACTACTCTGCCCTCTCTACCCTTTGTATTCTGTGTCTGTGTCTGTTTCCCTTTCCTTCTGGGTCTCCCTTCATCTGTCCCTGTCATTTATGTCCCTCCTTTCCCTCATGTCTGCAGCTCTTCTTTAGAGAAGGACCTGACAGTGGGCTGTAATGAAGGCTGTAATTGTGTCAGAGAGCTCTACAACCCTGTGTGTGGGGCAGACGGTGTGATGTATTACTCCCCATGCCATGCTGGCTGCAGCTCCATTAACCACACCGACCACACCACAGGCAAACAGGTACAGGCCTTGCATTTTACTCTGACTAGATAGATTAGACTTGATTTCAAGACATGTTGTTAACTTCCCAGCAGTAGTGCATTCGAATGAAATCAATGCATTTAGTCATTTACATTAATAGTGTTAGTAGAAACTGCTACCTTTTGGGCAGAAGCACGCGTTGCATCACAGGCTTAGTAAGCCAACCATTTCAAACGAATCAATTGTTCTTTCCAAATGATAAATGGACATATTACAGCAAAGACACAAACAACCTCGCTCCATCTGCAACAAGGAAGTTAAAAGGACCATGCCTTCTGTGATGCCCACGATAACTTTAGGTGAGGGATTTGGCTATAAAGTTGCTGTGCTACCGTCCTCTATAATAGGAAGGCAGGACGGTGAGACCAACAGTGCACATAAGTCAGTCACTGCCTTAGCTGACGTCAGGGCTCTAAGATGACAAGACCATTGCCATCCATTCACCACTGCAGCTTCTCAGTAGGCAAGCGAGCACAGAACTGGCAGACGGCCTGAGGAGTAAGCACTAGCCCGGGGGTGGATATCCAAGGGGAGGGTAGCCAATCCAGCAGCTGGTACACAGATGGACTGCTAGACTTTCTTGCTTGTGTGCTGAAGAAAAAAAGGGAGCTGGGCTTATGTTAATATGCAGTAATACTGCAGGAGTGGACCTGAGGGGGACCAGGGCAGGGCACAGTGGTGTGAAAGAATATCTTTACAACTGAGCACTGGGGATAATCCTATAGGTCAGCTCTGCTCACTTACTTTTGCCGTTTTCACTGTTTTCAGTCCAAAAACAGCTGTTTTCTGTGTGTCAAAATCTGTCTCGTGATATATATCAAACAATTTGTATGATATATTGGATTGGATTTATTTGGATTTGATGTATTTGCTCAATACAAAGATAAAGAGCCCACTTACAGCCCTGTAGGATGTTCTGTTCTCAAGTTGTGGGCCAGTAAAGCATGGGAGTGCTTTTGGTCACAGGAATATTGATCAATATTCACATTGTTTATCAATATTTCATTGTTTTGGAAGCTTTATGTTATTTGGAACGTGGTTGTATGGACAGAAATAGTATTTTGAAGAAAAATCCCAATAAGGGTAAGCATAGAAACAGTAAATATGGCTAAAACATGAAGCCTATGCAAAACAGTATTGGTTCAGTATGTTGTATGCTACAATATACGGTATGTTGATGTGTATGTATGTTTTTAGGTGTACTCTGGATGTAGCTGTGTAGTGGTTAATGTCTCCCGGGGTGAGGAGGGCTTCGCTCTGGCAGGGAAGTGTGGTAACGCCTGCAACCACATGCCAGCATTCCTCTTCTTCCTCTTCATCATCATCTCCTTCACCTTTCTATGTAGCATCCCAGCACTTACCGCCACACTCAGGTGGGTGGCCACAGTGAAACCTTAAAAAACAAAAATGCTTGTACTGATTCAGGTTGTAGCTAGCACTGGTAAGTTTGTTCATTAACCTGGCAAATAGAAGAGAGAAAAATACTTCTACTCTGTGTATTACTCTTACTCAGTGGGACAAAGATTATTCATTAAACTACTTTTTTGTTTTATGACATATAACCAGCTGGTAACTGTCTTTAAAAAATGAACCTGCCCTCGCTTTGATCCACGAGGTAATTTGACTTTTTATTGAGAAAATAATACCATAAACAAATTATTATTTAAAGCAGACATAACACATAGCAGTTATATTTATATTATTTATATGTAGTGGCTAAAGATTGCTGCTTGGGAGTGACATCTTTTTAAAGGTAACACACTCACAGCTTGGTATCTTGTCTGTCATGTGAAATTGTAATGATCCTTTCATGATTATGAATTTTTTTGCAATTATAACTAATAATGACAATGAATGAATATTTTAAAATCAAACACTAGTTATGGTACATATTTTAAGATTAAAGCAGCTATAATCATTATTGTATATTAACAGTGGATCACATCACTAACTGTATGTAGAAGGGGCCGCTCATAATGATGAATCCTCATCCCACTCTGCAGTTCCCATCAGCTCTATGTATCTTTTTAGCCCCTTGCAGCTCATTGTTTTGGTTTCTGGCCTACTGTTTTGATTCAGTCTCTGCAATCTCATCTACTTAGCACCAAACAGCAGCCAGACAAAGTAAGCAACTAGCTAGTGAACATAGTGGAGTATTTAGTAGCTAAAATGCCAGATTTGTCCCTCAGGAGCTAGTGGAGACTAAACAGTTCTAAAAAGGAACACAAATAAATTCTAATGTTGCTCTGTGTTTACAGTTTCCACAAGTAGCCACAAATTCTAGAGAGATGGAAATTACAGTTTAATGTTCTTAGTAGAAGTGAAGAGTTGCAGTAATGTTATCTACTCTGAAATAGTGATTGAAATCTTTGATGCTCTCTCCAACTAGTTGTAGATGAATGAAAAAATGTCATTGCATGCTCTAAAAGGGGCATGCATCAGTTACCTACTCTGCTTTAGCTCAGTGAAAATGACAGATAGATGGATTGTAAGGGCAAGCTGTTGTGCAGAGAAACAGACAAAACAAATGCAGCAAAAGGTGATAAAGAAAGTGTATCATAATGAAGTTTGAGATCCAGTATGCCTACACTAATGTCTGTGTAACTGTGCTGTGTAGATGTGTGCCAGACAGCCAGAGATCCTTTGGACTCGGCATCCAGTGGATTGTGGTGCGAACATTTGGTAGGTCCACTATATTCTTTTATTAAGTTTACTTTTTACTCTTAATTCTGTCTACACAGACGCCATGATCTTATCCAATCTGCGTTGTTGTTACCCCACAGGTGGTATCCCAGGACCCATAGCATTTGGCTCTGTGATTGATATATCCTGCTTACTGTGGCAGGATCAGTGTGGTGAGCAGGGCTCCTGCTACCTATATCATAACTCAGCCATGAGCCAATACACACTTGTAGCTGGCATCATCTATAAGGTAACATCCTACACACACAGCAAAATGCCATTTACTGTAGCTTTAGATTCAACCTTTAGAATCAAATTTCTTGGATTTGAAAAATTGCGCTTGTGAGTTGAGGTGTCTCTGCTCGAATCTTACCTGATTTTTAGCCTTATTATTTTCTTTGGACCCTCATCTTTACTGCAACTGCAGCACCCTCTCCCTTTTTTGTTTGATTCATACACAAAGAGACGTATAGAAATTACATATTTCAAGTGTCTGGCTGGTAGGTGGCACTGTAACAGGAGACGGCCACCTTTTCTCCTTCTCCAGTCTCCATGCTAGGCTAAGCTAATCACCTGCTGGCTCTGGCTTCTTACTTAAAGCACAGACATGAGAGGCATATTGATCTTCTCATCTCTTGGCAATAAAAGCAAATCAGTGTATTTCCTCAATTGTCAAACTAGTCTTTTAAGATGAAATGTTTCAATATACAGCTTTTGATACTTTGATACAAAGGCATCTGCTGTAGGCCTGTTCTGTGCACCATTTATCTGTAATTTTGACTTTGTCCTCTTTTTTTTCAGGTTTTGGGGACAATCTTTTTCCTGTTAGCCAGCATCCTGTACCAGCCTCCTCCTGAGTCACCTCAAAGCAGCTGTGAGAGCACCGACCATGGAGTAGGAGACATGAGCGATCTGCCTATCAAAGACCTGCCTGAAGATGGTGTTATAGTCAACCTACATGCCAGGTTATGACATCAGAGACCTCCCGATCGCTGAGTCTCTGTCTCACTGTGTGTGTGTGTGTGTGTGTGTGTGTGTGCACGCGCGCGTGTGTCTATAGGTGCGGCTTAATGCAGAGTGTGTGAGCGTGTGTTTGGGTGGTGATGGAGGGCTGCCTCTCTATGGCAACAGCCTTCTCTCAGCCATAATGACACCACCCCCAACATACACATGCGTGCATGCAAACACGTGCACACAAATGGAAAAAATTAATAAAGACACACAAACTCAAACAGCTGCCTTCATGCACATCTCCACACACACAAACACAGACAACTTTCTGTAGTACCTGATGACTTCGAACATGCTGCTTTGACTGCATGTGTGTATCTAATTGTATGATTGACAGGACGGTGCCTCGCAAGTTTTTATGTACCAGGAGGCATTTGTACTCATAAGTATGTTAAATCAGTTCAAATTACTTTAAGTCTTTAAGGGTTTAAGTCTGATGATATTTCTGTTTCATAATCATTGTCCTTTAATGAAACTTCTGAGACCTCCAGTATGTGGTGTATATTATATGCCATATGTATGAAGCATTTATGATGTGGAAAAGGCATTATATATCCATCCTCTTCTTGTTCTTTACCCATTTCTGGAAGATTACACTGTTTTTCTTCTACACCGATAAGGCCATGATCTTATATACTGTATAAGATCTCAAGGCCAGTCACAATGAAGCCAAATCACTTTTTGTGTCGTATTTTAAGCCAAGAGTATCTAAAGGCACTTATATTAATATAAGAGGAACATTGACTATTGGTCACAATAGAGCAGCACAATATATTTTCACGCATGTGTATTTTTTATAGCTACTTCGACACATGTACATGAGATTTATGATCAGTCATTGGCTTTTATTTAAAAGTAGTAATACAGAGAAAAAGAAAACACACACAAACACACACACACACACACATATATACAAATATATATATAGATGCTCCTCTTTGATAGAAATTGCATAGCTGCACTTTAAAAAAACAACAAAAGCACTGGGAAGCTTGGAAAATATGTGCTATATGTGACACAATAAAGGCCTCATCACACCAGCATTTAAAATGGCAAATCTTTGCTACTGAATCAATTATTGGACTATGTAATCGCTGCAATCAGTTTGTTCACTCGCGGGGGTGATGTAAATCTGTGCACATTTTTCACGTGATTTTGCTGCATGGCCAATTCGAGCTGTCTCTATAGTGCTGACCTGATAGAAAGGAGAAAATCCAAAATGGTGTAAGCTATAGTAGCCTGTTAGCTGTGTGGCACCATCAAGTTTTATAGAGACACAATGTGAAACCAAAACTTTCAGCTCATGTTCTAGAAATAAGTCTCATTCAAAATCCCAATTACAAACAACAAACACTTAACATAATTAACAAAAAATTCACCTCTGGAATAAAGTCTCTCAAGAGTACGTCATGTGGTTTACTTATGTTTATACAAAGAGTGTAAGCTACTTTAATAAACAAACTAATGTTGCTGTTTTTGTTTTGACTGCTTTTGAGGTACATAATTTCCCGTAAGCCCTAAACCATCATGGCTCATCATAAGTCCACAGGTGAGTTGAGGGGCCGTGGCTAGTTCAGTGTGGAATTGTCTAAAAATATGAAAAGGAAACCCAGGACCACAGCTAACAAATCTATGATGATTTCTACATTTTGGCCTCTCCAGCAGGGATCTTTGTTCCCAGGTCAATATTCTGTTAACACGCATCAACCCTTGTTTTATTGGAACAAGTCTTCAAAGCAAAGCTCTAAATATAAACACCACAAAACAAATGGTTATCATTTGATTTGATTTGAAGCTTTTTTTTTTAAATATATCTGTGTTGAGTCTGGGTGGTTCTGTGGATAACATTTTAGGGCATATTTTCACCTTTTTGGTGATTCCATGACTCCAACCACTCCAAGTGTTGGCCTATTATATTGAGAGCCATAGGGCAGTGCTGGGAAACAGAAAACCCATAATAGCATATTATTCATATTATGTTAGCATACACAGTGTCATATCAAGCGATGTCAGAGCTGTGGGACATCTTTTTCAGGTTCCCATTACATGCCATGTAAATCTGGAGAACATAGGAACGGCCCCCTCCAGCTCGCTGTTTCATCAAAGGTCAGCATTGTCTAGATGGCAAACTATTGCTAAATGATGCAAATTTGTCAAAGTTCACCAAATTTGGAACTGGCCACAAGAAATTGGACAGATTTACCTCACCGCTGTGCGCAAATCCAGTGATCACAGCCATTCCATAGAAAGTGACCACAAATTATGGTCATTTAAAATACTGGTGTGACTGTGCTGAGGGATATTCTGAGAAGTAGCTTTTAAGTTGGAACTGTCAAGGATGACGCACAACTGGCACAACATGCAGTATAACAAATCGTCATGTTATCGCAGTACTGTCCACAAATGTGCCAAAGCAACTTTGCCTAACGACTCTTGTGATCATTGACCTTATTTATGCAATTGATTTATTTATATTTCAGCACTTTTTTTTTTCATTCACTTTGTGATGATATGGAATGCTGCTCTGGCTCTTCTTCTGCCGTCCTTTGTCCACAAAAATTCCTCCTGTTGTCTTTATTGTTTATGTGATTGTAAAACACAAGTTGACAACCTACTGTATGTTGCCTGTATTGTTGTCATGTACTGTGCTCGTGTAAGAACTGACCATAACATGCTCTGACTGATGAAGATGAGTTTGATCTCCATGTGAATGTGTAAATGCAGTCCTCCAACTGTGCTTTTCAATCAACCACTCTGTAAAATTATTTTTATTCTTTTTTATTTTGTTTTTGGTACAGTGTGTTTTTTAAAAAGGGACTTGAAATCAATGATCTTTTTACGGAATGATTCAAAGATGTCAAGTGTTTTGTAATTACAAAAGCTGAACAGCAGATCCTGTTTTGTCTCAAATTGTTTTTATTGTGTGTGTGTGTGTGTGTGTGTGTGTGTGTGTGTGTGTGTGTGTGTGTGTGTGTCTCTTCCTGAGAACAGAAAGGAACAAATAACGTGATATAACGTGATGCAGGAAAAACAACAAACAAAACCCAAGCATTGTTCAAGACCACAAAATGTATTTACAATTTTTGGGTTATTTCCTTCCTTCTTAATCAAGTCAAGTGTCATAAAAAGCTGATACAGAATAAATAAACAACATTGTCATACGATTTTGGAAATAGTTTTAAGAGCTAATATTTAGGGGGAATTTAAAGGGAAAATCAGGGTTGAAAAGGGTACTTTAAACCTGTTTAAACTGGATGCAATATTCTATACTTTATACTGTCAGTAATTTCTCCCTCCCTCCCCTGTTCAGTTGCCTGGATCACTGACCATCTAAAATTGCCCACTATATTTCCTTGTGCTTCAACTTTATATCATGTCATTATTAGATTGATGTTATTGATGCATCAATGTCTTAGCAGCATCTTCATATTGTAGCTGGTATATACAATTAGCTAGTTCAGGGTTTCCAGTGGTTCCCATGGATCACAGGATAAATGTGGAGGGTTGTGAGATGTGGTAGGATGTGGTGAAATTGCAAACAAGTGATAGAAATCTGACACATGACAAGGTACCCTAACTAGCTACTTCTTTGTTGTGAGGGGTCACAAGCCAAAAAGGTAAAAACAAAACAAACTGGTTTAATCTTTAACAAGGCACTGTGTTTTATACACTTCTGTAAAATTTTAATCTGAAGAGTAACCAGTAACTTTGTATATCAGATAATATATGTCACTACAAATGATGTCAGATAATGGAGTAAAAAAAAGTGCTATAATTCCCTCTGAAATGTATAGTGGGAAGTAGCATAAAATGGAAAATACTCACCTAAAAGTTGTACATAAGTACAGTACTTTAGTAAATGTATTTATTCATCTTACAACAGTGGTCATTTACAAAGGACAAATATGAAAAGCACAGACTTTGCTGATATTAGCCATGCATGAGTAAATGCATGTTCACCTTCATAATCATACAAGATTATAAGAAAGAGATTGAATAGAGATATGGTGGTCAATATCTTCAAAGAAATTTTTCTTGAGACAGTTAAAAGTGTATTGATTTGAAGACAATACTGAAGGTCTTGATGGTTCACTTTTATATAAGTCACTCTTTGTCATCACATATAATTTAGTCCAGTTGTTGTCAGAGTCCAATCCTAACCCCTAGGTGGTAGTAAGTCACAATGTTTCAGCAGCCACCGACCTATCAGTGTATAGATGTTTGCGAATACTTTTGTGCTGAAAAGGAAGGGCAAGGGTGTCACTTTGTTTTGAAAAGTAGTAGGGACATAAAGGCTCAGATTAGGAGTGTAATGATACACTTAGCTCACAAGATGTAGGGATGCACCATACTGGTGTCACAAGAACGAGATGTGATGATAAATTAACAGTATTTAATAGAAATCATCAATGCTGAAATATATGAGTTGGATGAGTCTGGATGTCCTCTCCCAGAAGTTAGAGCATTAAACACTTAATTTCCTGCATTCTGGCGACATTCTCTGTTCTGCTTTTCGTACTCAATTTATGATGGAAATTCAGGTGACAGGTGACATTTCAAAATCTATAAGTATTCAAGTACAGTTACTCAGAATCTAATGCAATGCAGCTCTCAGGCATTGAAAGGGATCCAGTCGGCATTGTATCACTACACATGATTGGTTACAGTCCCTGTCCTTTGCACCAGAAAGCTGGATGCCAACTGAGCTCAAAGATCTACAGCAGTAAATGCAGCACACACATTAATGCAGAAGTCTTATTAACCCAAAATAATCTGATATAATAGTTCCACAAGGACAGAGAACACTTTACTGTACAATGAGTACTTTAACTTTGATCCTCATAAGTGAAAAGCCACAGCCGCATGCTAGTATTTCCGCTTTCATTGTGGGATCTCTGTATGAAAGCGGTTGTGTTTTGGATTATGCCCACTCATGAGTTCAAGCGAGCATGCGTACGAGCACACAATGTTAAACCCGCACTGCTAGTGGCCGCTGGAAACTACATAATGCCCCTTTAAGATACAGTGGAACTGAGAAGTTAAAGGAAATGTGTAAGATAAAATAAGGTTTTTATGAAGCTGTTATATAACATTAACTCTAAAAACATCTCAAACCACTTAGGTTCCAATTCAAGAAGAATGATCATCCAGCTCAGGATGGAAATGATATTCCATCACACCGATCATTAGAACACATTTTATTGTGGACAACTAGTCCAAACCTGGCCATATTGTGTATTAAGTGCTGTGGGAGCAGGGCCAAAAAGAAGACTATTAAGTATGAAAGTGTGTTGAAAATGTAAAAAAATAAAACTTACTGTTTTAATTTAATGTTACTTGTATTGATAGTCTATCAATACCACTATCAATACTTTTTTTATTATTTGGTGGAAAGACAGACCTAACGGCAGTTGGTGGTGTTCCGACTCAAAGAAGTCGAAGGTACTGCAGTGAACGTTTTGTTCATTTGAACTCATCTTTTATATGACTCGGGAGTAATGAGTAGTGTCAGTGTCATGCCAAGCGCCCTCAGTTGAATTATGTGTTCAGTTTCCTTTTCAGTTACCACTTCCTGTTTTGTTGTAGTTACTCATCTTGGCTGCGTCCGAAAAGTCTTTTTGGCTTAGGAAGGTTCCTAACTGAGTGAAGTGACCCGGAAGTATTTCAGTGGCAGCCATGATAAGAGCTGGTCAATTCTCTAAAAGCTAAGGAAAGGAGTCTCAATGCTTCCTTTCATATCTCCTTTAGCATAGGGTACATCGGACCATCCTTCACGAAAAGGAAAGGAGAGAATGCCGTCCCATAATTCCTTGCGTCAGCAACATTTAAAGTGACGCATGTTCTCAAACTCAAACTATAAAAAACTACAATGACCAATAAAGGGCGTCGATCTCCATGTAAGTTACCATTGGCTATGAAGCCTTGTCTCTCTCATGCAACTTGGTAATATGCATATGTTTTGATATGTCAACAATAATTGAAATCCATACGCGAGCTATGAATGTTACTCTTGTAAAATGTGTGTGTGTAGGCTCACGTTAAATGCTCAGTTTGGATAAGTTATTTTTGGCCAATGTATTCGCCGCCCTCGGCAAAATCATTCATTAATTTTACTTCAGTCACAGATGCTGAGTCAAGTTGGACAAAATGTTCAGTGGCAAGAACAATTCTGCCAAATTAGGCTGGGAGTAAGTATAACAACAACAACAACAACAACTGTGGGTTAAACGTTGTTATTATTACTTGTGCTGGCAATTAAAGGTAATTCTGACATACAGGCAGGTGGTGAAGGATATTGGGCTGGAGGGCCAGGTGACTGCCATGCAGGCGTCCAAGAAGTGGGACAACCTAAAAACAAAGTACAAAGTGAAGCAAATCATATGGCTGGGCACTGTGGTGAACTAATGTAGTGTTTGTGGAGATTATGTATAAAACAGATCAAATCCACCTACCAAAAGACGAAAGCGGGGTGAGGGAATGTTGGCCTTCTTGAGACAACAGGCTGAGAAGGAAGCAAGAGATGCTGCTCTCTAAGAGCAAAATGAGCGATTTCTCTCATTATTTGCTGAACTAGTAAAGAAAAAATAAAGACAATGTATATGATGTGCTCATTTAATGAATTATCAGTCCCTCCAGGATCTTGCATATTAAGACATTTATGGTGAAAATAGTAAATTTATGCAAATAATGCAGAAATTCCACTACTTTCCATTTCATTTTTAATTGTGTTAATAACAGAACATGGCAAGTTGCAATTGTGCTGATTCCTTGAATTTGTGTGACTGTGTGAAAACCTCAAATACTGCAGGGACTGATCTCGAAGGCTTTTCATTTGCTGAATGAATGGAATAGTGTTCAACACATTGCTTCAATACACAAATAAAAATCCTAGCTCACTTGTGCCCACCTGTGACCGAGCTGTCCCTGATCACTGCCTACCTTGCTCCATCTTCCCACCTCTTACAAGATGGCCATTAGCAATAGATATCAGGATCCCCTTTTTCAGAGCTGTCACCTCAAACAGTATTTCTGTACATGCAACATATTGTATGTTCCTACTCATGTAAAATACACTATACAAGCTAGAATGACCACACAGATGAAAGTAGGAATTTAGCAGTAATGGAATACCTGTAGGCCATTTATGCAGGATCGACGCGGTGTTCTCCTTTTACGAACATTTTACCACTACATTTATTAGAATTAGAACAGTTAAAAGTGTATTGATTTGAAGACAATACTGAAGGTCTTGATGGTTCACTTTTATATAAGTCACTCTTTGTCATCACATATAATTTAGTCCAGTTGTTGTCAGAGTCCAATCCTAACCCCTAGGTGGTAGTAAGTCACAATGTTTCAGCAGCCACCGACCTATCAGTGTATAGATGTTTGCGAATACTTTTGTGCTGAAAAGGAAGGGTGTCACTTTGTTTTGAAAAGTAGTAGGGACATAAAGGCTCAGATTAGGAGTGTAATGATACACTTAGCTCACAAGATGTAGCGATGCACCATACTGGTGTCACAAAAACGAGATGCGATGATAAATTAACAGTATTTAAGCTGAAATATATGAGTTGGATGAGTCTGGATGTCCTCTCCCAGAAGTTAGAGCATTAAACACTTAATTTCCTGCATTCTGGCGACATTCTCTGTTCTGCTTTTCGTACTCAATTTATGATGGAAATTCAGGTGACAGGTGACATTTCAAAATCTATAAGTATTCAAGTACAGTTACTCAGAATCTAATGCAATGCAGCTCTCAGGCATTGAAAGGGATCCAGTCGGCATTGTATCACTACACATGATTGGTTACAGTCCCTGTCCTTTGCACCAGAAAGCTGGATGCCAACTGAGCTCAAAGATCTACAGCAGTAAATGCAGCACACACATTAA